GCTGCATGGCCAGACCTAGGTCTCCTGGCATTCCTGGCCGCTAGGTCCTCAGCTTGGCCTCAAGTCCTGTTGCACACCGTGTGAAGGTCACAGCTCAAACCCGGAGTGCTGTGGATTCCCAGGGGGCTGACATGTCCCCGTCCCCTTGTCTGACAGGATCACGGGGCTATGGGTGCGTTGGTGCAGGCACGGGGGCACCGTCCCCGCACTAAGTACTATCCCAGCCTAAAGTGAATCTGCTCAGAGAGTTCCAGTTCACATGAACGCACCAGCCCTCCTGAGCGTCTGGAGGCTTCCATCCCGAGATGCCGACCTCTAAGCTTGCCTGAGTCATTCTCACACCAATGTTCTCTCGTGCTCATCACACACAGGGGCATTTCTGTTCAGTCTGCATCCCACTCAGTCCCCCCATCTCTACTCTCTTGACTTTTGGGGCGTCCTAGTCCATTGTGTGCTATGATAGCAGAGTGCCACAGACTGGACAATTTGCAGTGAACAGAAATGTATTGGTTCATAGTTCTCAAGGCTGGGAAGTGCAGGATTAAAGACCAGCTTCTGGTGAGGGCCGTCTCGCTGGGCCACCCTGTGGTAGAAGGCAGAAGGGAAAGAGATGGCAAGGGGCCAGGGGCAGACTCACCCTTTGATAATGGTGCTAATCCTCCCCTCCATGAGCGAGGAGCCCTACTTCTTAATATTGTTGTAACAGTAAGCAAACCTCCATGTGAGTCTTGGAGGGGACACACGTGCACAGCATGGGGTAAAACCCACAGCCCTTTGCATTTTCTCAGCATGGGATCAGTCATCAAAGCCCATAGACTGTTGTCTTGCTGTTCTCAGTCCCTCTTTTTCCTGGGGGTGGAACAAGGGCTTCTCACCCACCCCCAAGGCTACTGCTCCCCTCTCTGCAAGTCCAGCCCTGCTTGTCTGTGCAGAGCTGCCACCACCGTTTGCAGCCGCTCGTGGCAGTATTAGCTTCTGGAGGTAACTTTCCCTTCAGAGGAGCCATCCTGAGCACAGAGGAGGGACTTCACTCCAGCGGGAGCGGCTGGAAGAAGGTGGCAGGTTGAGCAAGCGCTGTGCAAGGGATGGAGCAGCGGGAGGGAATCAACGGGGTCCTTTGTGTTGGAGGAGGAGAGGTGACGATGACACTGGAGAGGGCCCCCCATCGACACGGAGGACAGCAGAAGCACCTGTCTCCCTCTCTTTGGCCATGCGTGGGAGGTAGGGTCTGGTCCTTGAACGTGTTTCTGTCCTTAGCTCTGAGCATGCTGGCTGCTTCGTGGAGTCAAAAGTCAACATGTGCTGAGTGAATTCATAGGCTCAGAGACAGGTTGTTTGAATTGTGACAGAGACTTAAGGCGCTAGAGTGCAAGCGAGTGCAAGAGGCCAGTTATAATCCCTGAAATCCCCTTCTGTAGACATCGACCTCGAGGTAGGCCCTGAGAGCCACAGCTGACCCAGGCCATGGGGCTTGGACTGGCAAAGCCCGACACCTTGTAAGCCTGTGAGGAATTAGCTTATTTATTCATCACTGTGTTCCCAGCCCTGGCACGCATATGGCTTCAACTAAAGACCATCGTGGCCACGGGGTGGCGCCATTGTTCCAGCCAAGGACCACAGCGCCTGTTGCTGAACTTGGAGTTGAATCCAGACTCCTCTAACCTATCAAGCTCTAATCTAAACGCAGGGATATGTTCTTATCCTCAAACAAGGGGATTAACAAAACCACAGTAGATATTTCAGTGGAGAAAAAAAAATCTGTTTCAGAAAGCACAATCCTAAGACCATTCCTTCCCTTAGCTGGCTAAGAAGGGCCTGGCATGTGGGCAGGGGCAGATTCCGCACCACCTGTGAGTCAGTTTGGGTGCTGAAGCTTTGTATGGCTCACTGCTCAGTCATTGCCCAGAACTACAGAGCTCACGCAGGACTTCGAGCCCTGGGCACCACCCTGGTAGCTACTAGGAAGACATCTGGGGACAAAAAGAGGAAGATGCCCAGTCTACATTCCCACCACTCTTACTCCAAGAAGCTTTGCACCAAGCTCTGGGTGTAGGACACCTCTTTACTCTAAGCCACATGTTCACCATCTACCCTGGCGTCAAGGTCCAGTTCCCTAGGAAGCCTTAGGTGAGCCTCCTGCCCATATGACCAAGACCTTCGGGGAGCCCTTTGACCCCAGGGGCACTGGAAAATGTGTGTTGTCTGCCTTCTCGGTGCCTGTGACCAGCTCCGCATTGAGGTGGTAATTCCCTTGAGGGCAAACTCCATTCCTTAAGCTTGTTGTGTTTCCTGAACACGGCAAGCACTCAGGAGATATTTATGGATGTTGAAGAGCACAATAAACCATGGTGCTCCATATTCAAAGGGCTGGGAGATGTTTAATAGCAAAACATAAAAAGGGAGAGTCTGTGGGTCATTACTCTGGTTCTCAGACAGCTCTGGATTATGATTTGAGGTCATAATCTATAAACTAGCAGCGTGACTTTGTATTATTACGAGAAACAACATTAATAACAGGTGCACTTATTGAGTGCCTGATATATAGGAGTCACTGTATTATTCATTGGACATATGTACTTCATTTAGTTTTCCCAATAACCCTGGAGGCATTATTTCCATTTTCCACATGGGGAAAAGTAAGCCCAGGAAGCTGGTGTTGGCCAAGCTCTGTGGGGTTGATTATAGGGTTAGGAAACCCAAGGCACCTCCTAGGACCCCTGCCCGTAGGGACCAGGCTTGGCCTGTGGGTTCTGGAGTCAGGCAGATCTGATTCTCAGAGGGGCAGGGCCACGGAGGGCAGTGTGGCCAGAGGAGCAGCAGCTTGGTGGCTGACCAGAAGCAATGCATCTTGGGAACTGTGAGTGAAGTGAACCCCTCAGTTGTTCTCTGTTGAGAACCAGGCAAGGCCCAAAGTGTGCTTGCTCAGTAGAGCGTGTGCAGAGAAGGTCATGCCCATTTCGCATGATTCGAGGGTCTCTGGGAGATGTCCCTGCCTCCAGATGTCTTCTTTCATGGCCTGTTGTGTCACCCCAAATATCACCAGTGGTTTTCATTTCCATTAAGCTTAAAATGCTTTGTAGGCTTTCAATAGCCTCATGATCTTTCAAAGCCATTGAAGAATGAGTTGAGAGCCATCTGGAAGGAGGACGTATGCCTGGAATTGGCGGGGGCCAGGGCCAGCTGTGGCCACTGTCTTCTTCCTGTCTGGCTGGTGAGGAAGTCCTGGCCCGGGTGGAAGGTGGAAGTCCTGGCCCGGGCTCTGGGAAGATGCAGCGAGGATAGAGACATGGAGAGAGAATCCAGTTTTTTGGATTTGGACAACAAAAGCTTTGGGACCCTGCTTGTCCCCAGTTCTCTGTGTCTTGCCTCCCCAGCCTGCCACTCCTACGCCTGGGCCCACATGCATTGGTCTGTTAAGCAAACACAGCTGGTGTTGCCAACAGTAAGAGATGGAGGAAGGAGATGAGTCTGTGGCAAAAGCCTCACTTAGCTGCAAATGCCTGCAGTGGAAATGCATTTTCTGGGAAAAGGAGTCTGTGTTTTGTCACTGATAATTTCCTTGATAAGGAGAAAAAGTAAAAGGACCTCACTGGCTTCCAATGTGGCTCCCTGCTAATGTGCCTGGGAAAGCAGAAGAAGATGTCCAAGAGCCTGGATCCCTGCCGCCTATGTGGGAGGCCTGCATGAAGCTCCTGGCTCCTGGCTTTGGCCCAGCACTGGCTGCTGCTGCGGAGTGAACCAGTAGATGGAAGATTTCTCTCTCTGTCTCTGCCCCTCTCTCTGTCACTCTGACTTTCAATAAGTAAATAAATGAATCTTCAAACAAGTTAGGCTGTGGGTCCTTATAAGAGTAACTTGCTGGTATACTGTCACCTGAGAACTAATGAGCGTGGAAGGCAGGCAGGAGAAGACTGACACGTAAGGACACCGAGCTCGTGGGAGAGCAGGCAGCTGTGGCAAGGCAGGCGCAGGCACCAAGGATGTTGGTGCATTGCTGGTTTCTGATTTCTTGCACGAGTTGTGGGTTGCCCTCTCTTTCCCCCTTAATATTTACATATTTATTGGAGAGGTTTTTTATATATATATAGGCTATATATATATATATATATATGGGGAGAGAGGTTATTTATATGTAGAGCTGTATATGTATGTGTATATATATATATATATATATAGGGTGGGGAGAGAGAGAAACTCTTGCATTCATTGTTTCACTCTCCAAATCCCTACACTGGCTGAGGCTGGGCCAAGCCTGACACTGGGAGCAGAGAACTCAATCCTGGTCTCCCATATGGGTAGCAGGGCCTCAACTCTTGAGCCATCACTGCTGATCCCAAGGTCTACACTGAAGTCAGGAGCCAGAGCTAGGGAATGAACTGAAGCACTCTGATGAAGGGTGTGAGTGTCTTAATTGCTAGGCCAAATGCTGGTCCTGGGTTTGTCTCTTTCACGCACGTCTGAGGTGTGTGCTTGTGGCTGCCTGGGCTGCAACCTTGACTATTTAGTAGTCTTCTGGGGACTTTGCTGGAATGGCTCTAAAGTTGATTGGCTTTGCTGGCTTCAGAGAGTCACGCAGTGTTTCTCTGAACTGTGCTATGGTCAGCTGGAAACTGGGCCTCAAAGATGTGACTGATCCCTGGAGCTGGTGAATGCCACCTTACACAGAAAAAGCATCTTTGCAGACGTGCTCAAACCAAAGATCCTGGAATGGGGAAGAGAAGCTGGGGTCCCCATGTGTGATTGCAAGTTGCCTTAGAGGAGGAGGCGAGAGGGCAGCTTGGCTACAGATGAAGAGACAAGGCCATCTGATGGAGCAAAGCCACAGGGAGCGATGGAAGATGCTGGGTGTGAAGACGGAGGACAAGGGCCACAGCGAGGAGTGCCACTGCAGAAGCTGGGAGGAGCCAGGAAGAGAGTGCTCCCCAGAGCCTCTGGGCAGAGAGGCTGCTGCCCACACCTTGGCTTTGGCCAATGAAACCATTGGTCTTTCTTTTTTTCAAAAATGTTTCAGGTCTCACTGTCACCACTGCAATGCATTTACTGTGCTGGAAGTACAATCTATGTCTCTGTTCAGCCACGTTGCCACAATTTTTGGAGGCCGTGATCAACAGTGCCCATTTCTCCTGTTTTAGACTTTGACCTTCAGAACTGTTAAGAGCATGAATGTGCACAACTGGGAGCCACCGAGTTTGCAGCAGTTTCTGACGGCAGGGGTTGGAAGCTGATGGATGGGCTGAGGTGCCCGCATTCATCCGTAATCTCCTGGCTTTAGGCAATTTTCATTTTGGGATGTTTCGGTCAGTATTCTCCAGAGAGACAGAAATAATAGCATGGATCATATAAATACAGAGGCGGGGTGGTGGGGGGTTAGTGGGAGCATTGGCTCACTTGATTACAGGATCTGAGAAGTCCTATGTTATGTGGTCTTCCAGGGAGGCCCACCCTGGGAAGCTGCTGGTGTAGCTCTTTGTCCATGGTTGAGCTCTTTCTCTGAGGCTGGAGTCCCCAAAGCCCCGGTTCGGGGAGGGTGGGTCCTGGAGTCCAAAGCCCGGAAACCCTGCGGTTCTGCTGCCCAAGGGCAGGCGAGAAGGGCATCTCAGCTCTAGAGGAGAGCGAGCAAGGCTTGTTCCCTGCCCTGCTTTTTTGCTTCCAGTGCCCGCCTTGCTGACCGTGTGATGTCCGCCTGCGTGGAACGTGGACCTCCCTGCCTCTTCCCAGACCCACCCGGGGCAGCCCCCACCTTCCACCTGTGCTTTCCTTTCAGCAGAGGAGGGATGGGCTCAGCACTTACTGAAATGCCGAGACCAAATGCGGCTTTCCCAGCTGCCTGTGCATCCCTTACCCTGGCCACCTCCTTGCAGGAGGTGAGGCGATCATCTCTGAATGCTAGCTGTGCGTGTGACATCATTTCCTCCCATCCTTAGCTGGCTGTGGAGTAGAGTATGGGGATGCAAACGGGTGTATGCTCAGAGAAACCTGGGTCCAGCCCCCGGAGGGCGCCACGTATCAGCTGCCCAACCCCGAGAGTGTTGAGTGTTACCTGAACGCTTAGTGCCGTGGCCTTGTCATAAAGTGGAGTGAGGAATGCAGGCTGCTCTGAACACTAAATGAAATAAGAGCAGCAGAGGCTCAGAGAAGCGATGTGGCCGGCCTGGGGCCGTGGCCGCGAGTCGGAGGCTGGCTGTGGCTCTTGGCCTGCCAGCCGAGGGTCCTCACCTCCGCACGTACTGTGAGGTCACCCAGGGCTCCTTTCCTGCGTGGTAAATGACCACCACCCACCACCGGCTCTTTGTCCTTCAGTTTTTCTCCTGCTCTCGGGGGGAGGAGCTGGAGCTGAGGAGCAGCTCAGGAAGAGAAAGGAGAAAGCAGATGTTCCTAAGCGAGGCTGGCGTGGACGCTATTGACATTAGGTCAGCAGACGGCGGCACTGTGTGATGTAATCCGCCGTAGCATGAGGGCTAATGGTGTCTAGAAACACCACTCGAAAGGACAGATGCTTCACTTTCCTTGGCTCTAGTTGGGTTCCTTTAGGCGGACAAACACATGGAATCCAAATTGGTGTGTATAGTGAACCTGTGTGCACACACACGTGACAGCAGGGGTGAGCAAACGTGTCTGTGCCCGTGTGAATGGCATGCTGCTATGTCCTCTGTTAGACTGGCCTCGGAAGCTCTGGGGAGCTGAGCCCCAGACAAAGGTTTGCATGCAGGTGCTTTTTTGTTTGTTTTGTTATTTATTTATTTTTTTGGTAAATGACTCCAGGGAGCAGGAGTGGGGGACAGAGAGAGGAGGGGAAGCCAACCCCAAGGCTGTGGCATCAAGCTGGTGACCCCTGTGGGTGGCTGGGCTTAGCCCTGATGCACACCCTTTGGAGCTGTGCCTTGAGATGTTCCACTTGAGGGATGGCGGGGGGAGATGCCTTCCTAAGCTTGGTACTCTGAAGTGTCAGAGTGGCCGAGCCCATTGCCATGGACCGTTCCTAGGAAGAGGATGGAGAAGCCCAGGGGTGGACAGGAAGTGGGGCAAGAGAGAGAAAGAGAGAAGTGAGGGAGGCAGCGACTGTGAGATCATGTTTGCTTGCAGTTGGTGGAATGAAACGGCAGAAAGAGGAAGTGAGATGAGGTAGAAAAGGCCTCTGCTATACCCTCGTGTAAGAATCTTCCTTAGTGTTGAAACCTCAGTGCTGCGGTGTTATTCAAAGCATCTTCCATCCATTGGACACAGGAGAGATGTGATGGGTTTTGCTCAAGCGTAGGGAACTGTTTTAGAACCCCTCTAAGCTAATTGAGCTATCAACGGAGTCACATTGGCCAAGGATCTATGACACAGCCTATACTGTGTTAGAAGGCATGAGGCAAAGACTACAGCACGGGCCCCTGTCATTAGCAAGGTGTCATAGCAGAGTGGGGCGCTGGCTTGGGAACATCAGATGGGTCTGATTTTCTTAGCTGTATGGACTCAGGATCGTCACCCCATTTCTCTCAGCCCCAGTTTGCTCATGACGAGAAGGGAGTAATAGCTTCTCCAGAGGTGTGATGTCAGAATCAAATAACGCCATGAGCATGAGCAGCCTGGCCCGTTGTACATGTTTAATACAGTGATGATAGCAAGCTTGCTTTCAGAAGGGAAGACAGCAGCGTATGGGTGACTCCTGCGTTCCGTGTTAAGTTCTGTGTCAGAGGCAAGTGAGGGGTGGGTGAAGGCTTCCAGGAGAAAGACAAGTAGCTGGCACAATAACAAAATATGACACAAAAGGACATTTTTTGAGAAATCATTAGAAGTAGAAGCTAGTTCAGAAGTCTGTATGCTCAGGAGTAAACTTAGCAAGAAAGCAGTACTATCCGTGGGAGAGATGGCCGGCGGGGGCAGGCACACTTGGCGGGTTTCTAGACAGGAAGACAGGATATTTTGAAGATGATGATTCTCCCCAGGTTATCTTATATGTTTGGTAGTTCACATTTGATGTTGCTATGAGGTTCCTTGTTACTTCATATTGGAAGGAAATGTCTGAATATCAATCATATCATACCTTTTTAAAAAAGATTTGTTTATTCATTTGAAAGTCAGAGTTACACAGAGAGAGAAGGAGAGAGAGAGAGCTCTTCAGTCCCCTAGTTCACTTCCCAAGTGGCCACAGTGGCTAGAGCTGGGCAGATCTGAAGCTAAGAACCAGGAGCTTCTGGGTCCTCCCACGCAGGACTTGGGCCATCTTCTACTGCTTCCCCAGGTCATGGCAGAGAGCTGGATTGGAAGTGGAGCAGCCGGGAACAGATCTGGTGCCCATGTGGGATGCTGGCACTGCAGACCAGGGCTTTACTCCACTACGCCACAGCCCCAGCCTCCATATCATACCTTTTGACCAAGCAATTGCATCTCTAGGACTCTATCTTTCAGCAATACTTAAAAGAGCAAAAATACATGCAAGGTTAATTGCAATAGGTTTGTATTAGTGCTAAACTGGATATCACCTAAGTGTTCTTCCATAGGAAATGATCACATCATGTTACAGAATGTAGCGTCATGGCAAATGAGACTTCCATCAATCTGTATGGATTGCCGGGCATTTTCTGAGGCATCAAGTCAGACAATAATATGTAGAGTATGATTCCAATTACACAGAACACCTAGAATGCATTTGTGCTTGTGAGTGGAGAAGCAAGCCTGAAAGGGTACCAGCTCCCCCTGGGAATTGGGCAAGGTGTAACAGGGACCCCATACATTCTTTCTCCAAATGAAAAATACTGTGTCTGCTAAAGTACAAAAAGGAAAAACAGCGAAGTAGAGCAGCAAATCTTTTCCTTGCAGGAACAGTTCCTGTTCACTTTTGATATATAATTGTTCCAAAATTTGGTTCTTAAGTGTCACCACTCATTTCATGAAAATAGCATAGTCACCAAGTAACAGCCTAAATGGGGTTGTTCATTTCTGTTTTTCTTGACTTATGGCTCAGTATGTAAAATATAGTTTTTAGCCTTGATCATTGAATATTGATTTTTCCATTTTCTGATACTTTTAGATTAATCTCCCTATTTGTGTAAAAATCAATGTTTGGGTGACTTATTAAGGTTTTAATGTTCTCTTTTATTCCTGAGTCTTCTATGAGTTTTTTCCCCTTTCTACATAAATAATACTTGAACGCCCTTCTGATTTTCATGTTGTGCGTTATACCTTGCTGCGCTGTTTAAATTTGTGATTTAGCCTCTGAGTGCTATCAAGCGCAGCTGGTCCCCTGCTGTTCTCACGGGGCGGCTGGCAGCTCTCCCAGCTCCAGACTGTGGGCAGCTCAGGAGCTGCCTCTGGCCTTGGCCTTGCCTGCATTCTCCTCCTCTCCTCCAGGCCATGCTGAAGAACCTTGAGCCTGCTGTGCCCCCGGGAGGAAGCTTAGAGTCTTCCGTGTCTTCCGGAGAGCGCCACGAGAGGCAGGCCGGCCGCTCTCCTCTGGTAACAAGGGCATTTCCTAGCATAACTTCAGTGGGCGGTGGGGTATTGAACTCTTTCCCAGGAAGGCAGCCGATGGGGAGGAGAGAAAGCCGAGAGAGAGAAAGCAAACCTCCTTCTGCCACAGCTTATGAGGAGTAAGGGCTGGTCAGGAGTTCGCCAGATTGAAGAGGGGGAGGTACGGGCCAGGCAGGGAAGACTGGGGAGGTCCTGGGCCTGGAGAATACCTGTGGGGGCTGCCTTGTGAAAGGGCCTAGAGCCCCACGAGTTTCTCTCTTTGCCTCAATTTCTTTATCTGTAAAGTGGGGACAATGCCAATGTACATCTTACAGGGTTATTATGAGGATTTAATAAGTGAACATTTGTAAGGTGCTTAACACAGAGCCTGACAAGTGCTAAGGGCCATGTGTCTGTGTTATTATCATGAACAAGCTGTAGCTTAAAGATTTTTAGCCATTTCCTTACATGTTATTTATATGCGTTTTTTTTTTTTAGATCTTTCTTGGAAAAAGCATTTTTTTTCCAGTTCATGAAGAGGAAAGACAGCTTCAACTTTGTACAGTGGCTTTAGTTCAGGGGCGGTCCCTGTTTACTTGTCCTGGCCCCAAGCTTTTCATCAGTGGTTTTTCTGTTGGGTTCATCGGATCCACGAAAGGCTGGTTGGCTTTTAAGCACATGTGTGTTTTTCCTGTTTTCC